CGGGGCGTGACCCCTGTGGGACAGACCCCCTGGATGGGCTGGTTGTGCCACGCTGATGGGCCCGGGGAGGGTAATTTGCCCTCCCAGTGCCTGGACGTGCGGCTGCTCCCCAAGAGCCACTGCCTCCCAGCACCCTGGTCCCGCCCCACTCCTAGCTCATGCTGGTGCCCAGCGTTGCTCCTGCCGTGGCGCAGAACCCGGCGTTTGCTCTGGCTCTGTCTCCTGGTGCTGCTGGTTGCTCAGAGCCCTGATCTGCCCAGATCTGTCCTGTCCCTCGAGAGAGCCAGCAGCACCTCCCGGTTTAGCATCCTATGAACAGGCATTTACAGTGCACCCTTGGTAACTTGCTGCTGTCCAAGAGTAGAGTTATCAGCTCCGTGGGCTCCTCTGCTCACAATTCCTGTCCCTGGTCCCCGTGCGCTGTATGAGGAGCTCAAGCTGAGCTCATTGTTAGCATGACCTGCAAGTTCTTCTCGTACCCACCTCCTGTGGCAGAGCTTCGGTATGGATACATGCCTCGGGGTTTTTGCATTTCAGTGTAGTCATCTGAATGCTTTGAGTCTGTGCCCAGCCTACCAGCCTTAGAAGCGCTGTCCCTTGGTTTCCTTCTCTTGTTTTTTTTCGGTCAGTGTTGTGTTACCAGTAGTTATTTCACTTAAGTGTTGTGGGTGGCAGATCGTTTGCGTCGGTTCTCATTAGCAGTGCGCTGTAGCCGAAATTGGGTAAATTTAATTGTGCACAAGTGGCCGCCAAGAGGGAGGGGCATTCTGAGGAAGCCCTAATATATGGTGAGCAGCTTTTGGCAAATGGGGTGCTGCTGGGATCCCTAGTGAGGGAGGAGAGGGGGAGTCAATGTGAGTAGGAGAAGCTGTGAAACAGCCGGGACGCTGAGGTAGTGTCAGCGGGTCTGGGTTTGCCAGATCTCTGTATTAGCTTCTACCTCAAGGGCAGGATCAGCTGGAAGTGATTTTGGTTGATGGTTGACAATGAAAAGCTAAATTCTACTTTCTGTCACCCCTAAGCACTTTGGGATGGGAATCCATTGTTATCGTAGGTCCCTGCGGGACAGGCAGGACCAGGCTCTGCGGAGTGGCAGGGTGCTTGGTGCCGAGGAAGAAAGAACCTGTTTAGATCTCTGGATGCTGCTGTGTGTCTGAGGAAAACCAGTATTGTGGTAAACTTTGCTGCTGGGAGTGTTGCTCATCTTGTAGCTGTGCAGGTCTTTTGGCACCAGAACTTCCTTGGCCCCGGCTGTGTCCTGCTGCGCTTTCAGCTCCTGCTCTGTCAGGGCCCTCTGCTTACCTCCTTGCTTTCCTAGTGCTCATCTAGGTCTTGAACATTAGGTGTGGATGCACTTGTGCTGGGCTAACTTTTGCATTTATTTACTATGGAAATTATTGTAGCAATTTCGATTGTGTGATCAGTTCTGAAGTTATTCCCAAAGTGCAACTTTCCCTTTGTTTCTCTCTGCTTGGATCGTTCTTCTCTCTCTTGAGTTTTGTGTCTCAGAAAGTTGCTCCAGGAAGTTGTGTTGTCTGAGTTCTTGAGACTTTTTATTTAATCTCTTTTGTATGATTAGAGATGTTTTTTGGTGGTTAAATGAACTAGAGGCATCATAAAGCATAAAAATATAATTAATTTTCTCAAAAGGCAGCTTTTACTACAAAACAGCCGTTGTGCAAAAGAAGTTTCCTCTCAAATATGCCCAGGGCTTGCTGCTCACACAGCCCACAGCGCGCTCTTGTTTGGGTATGTCCCGTTCCTGAAATAGATGTACTCAATCCTATCCTGGAACACTCATTTAATTAAAAGTTAATAAGCAAAGTTGATGCTATTCAAATGAAGGGTGCATGGTAACGCTCTGGTGTTGCTGGCTGGGAACTTACACCTGTCTCCGTCCTTCCCGTGCAGGTGAACCAGCGCAACGTCCCAGGGATCGATAGTGCCTACCTGGCCATGGACACGGAGGAAGGTGTGGAAGTCGTTTGGAATGAAGTTCAGTTTTCTGAGCGGAAGAACTTCAAGCTTCAGGAAGTAAGTTGATGTGTTCCTCAGCAAGATGTGGGAAATGTACCTCTGACCAGGGTGGGATTGCAGATACTGGCTGGTGGCCTTCCCTGTGGGTCATGGGCTGGGTTTGGAGTGCGACGCTGCCCAAGTGTAGCACAGTAAGCTTTAGCCTGGCCTTTGCTGAAGAAGTGGTGGAGAACTGTTGTTGTGCTATTTCCGTGGGCTCTTGTGTTGATTTAGTCTTGGTGATCAAACCTTGCTCAGCTCAGATGCAGTGCATGACGAAATCAGATGCTGTTCATCCTTAACATAGGAGCTTGAGGTGTATGGTGGTGTTTGAGGGGGCAGAGACCTGAGAAAAATGCAAGGTATGGGCTGTTGTGGTCTCTGGTGTAACATGTCTTTGTCTTTCTGGTGTTAAGGAAAAAGTTAAAGCGGTGTTTGACAACTTAATTCAGCTGGAACATCTGAACATTGTGAAGTTTCACAAATACTGGGCTGATGTGAAGGAGAATAAGGCCAGGGTAAGTGAAGTGAAGCGTGTGGGGCTCTCTTACTGAATGTCCTGTAGGTAATTAGTGACGCAGAGGGTGATGTCTCCTACTGCCCCACAGGTGATCTTCATCACTGAATATATGTCTTCAGGGAGCTTGAAACAGTTCCTGAAGAAGACAAAGAAAAACCACAAGACTATGAACGAGAAGGTAATGCTTTTTTTCATGTATGCCTATATTAACTGGGCACCATAGGCCTCTGGAAAGCCCTTTCAGCAGAGGATCCTGATGAGAAGGCAGCCTGGTTGTAACACGTGACTGCAATCCCTTTTTATTACTATAAAACTAGTTTAGTTGCAGGGTCTCTCTGACAAGCTGCGCTGTGCTGTTTGCTTGGTTTACAGCAGTTCTGCAGGTTCTGGTGTGTGGTGTGACAGACACGTCCCTTCCCAGAGGCATGCACAGCAAAGGGGGAAGGTGTCTGTGCTTGAGAGGAGTTGGGAGGGGAGTGGTGTTTCTTGACTCATACGAACACGTAGAAACGAAAATGAGCATGAGAGTGCTGATTCCTCTTAAGTTCTTACTTCCTGCACACCTGCACTGGGTAAAAACTGCACGGACCGTGTGTTCCTTCATGTGAATGGGGTGTGAATCGCAGAACTACAGATTGGTTCCTGCTCCTTGAATGATTTATATCCTTTTTGTTCCTGCGTCCCTAGGCCTGGAAGCGATGGTGTACCCAGATCCTCTCTGCTCTCAGGTACGTGACTGCTCTTGCAGTCGGGCCGTCTGTGTGAGTGTGGCCTCTCCTGTGCTGTAATATTAAAAGCTGTAAACATAGGTGCTGCCAGACTTTAGCAAGCTTTATGGGAGGGAGCCTGGAGAGCACTTCCAGTCACCCAGCCTGATTCTTATCCCAGACACCATCTGCAAGGTGTGGGCTGCACTTCCCAGCAGCCTCAGTCGGACCGTGCTGGAGTTTTTCCCTGATGTAGAGTAGGAGGTGCAACGTAGGGCTTAGACCTCAACAGTTGTGACTGATTTGATAGTGAGGGAGGGAGTTGAGCAGCGGGGAGCTCTCCGACTGCCCACCCTTGTAACCTGGATCTAACCATGGCCAAGCAGATGTTGCAAAAAAGATCTCAGAAAAAACAAATTCCATGTGAGTGAGGAAAATTTTCTTATTTTTGTCAGGCTGCAGCTCGGTAGCATGCAGTGGATTCATAATTACTGTGATGTGATGTTGTTAGAAGTGTGTGTATATCTATACATTTCTTGACGATGCAGATCTTCTGCAGCTCAGTGCAACCCAGTTGAATAAAATGTCAGGCTTTTTTGTTTTGGTTTTAAAGACTCTACTTGAACCAGAGTTGGTGTGTAGCTGATAACAGCCTTGAAAAAAAAAAAAAAATGTAGCTGTCAGAGCATGAGTCCCACTCTATAGAGAAAATTCTGTTGTGATTTGGCTAAAATATAGCTATTGATGAGTTGTTGGGGTTCTGATAAGTGTTTGGGAGCTGACAGTCCTTATTTTACTGGCTGCTGGCATAAATCCAAGCAGAATGAGGCACAAGAACAGGTAACCTCAAATCTATGTGGAAGCCCAGAACTGAAAACTTCATTTGTGCCTGCTGGAAAACATGCCCGGTCGTGTTTGTACACCACCGAGTGCCCTTTTGATGCCTCGTGAGAAGGGCCAGAATTGAGCTCTGATACTTTTTTGTATAAAATCGGAACCCTTTGAGCAGCCGCCTAGCAGTGTTGGGATGGATGAAATAGTTTCTTTACCCCTGGTGCTCTGGGTTTTTTGGGAACTGATCAGAGAAAGCTTTCACTTCCCCACCATGTTCTGGAGATTGTTTGTTAGAGACAATTGCTTACTTTTTGTGATTCTCTTCTAGCCTAGAGACTCATGTACAGTCACTCGATTGTACCTCCCTGCTGTTGGAAGCTCCTGGCACTTGCCCTTGGCCCTCCTGTTCTCTTCTTGTGTTGCTTGAGACAGGGAAGGGATGGAGGGAGGGAGGGACTCCTGGCCTGGGCAGCCTCCTGACCAGTGCTCTGTTCTGAATCTCTAGCTACCTCCACTCCTGTGATCCCCCAATCATCCACGGAAACCTGACCTGTGACACCATCTTCATTCAGCACAATGGACTGATCAAAATCGGGTCAGGTAAGGGTTGTTGGAGGGGGGCCCTTGCCAGCGAGACAAACTGCTCAGACAGAAAAAGGCCCTTGATCCTCTCAGGGTTATCTGGCGTGATAGGCGAGTGTGTACACGTGTTCCTCCACATCAGTTGTGCTGGAGGTTGGTCACAGAGCTCACTTCTGGTCGGGCCACCCGCAGGTGCAGGGAGGACTGGTACTGGATACAGTTTCCTTTGTTAGCCAGTTCCTCGGTTTTTGATCTCAGGGGACTAACCCAAGAAATGATGCTGAAACTTTGAAGGCTTCTGTACGTGTTATCCTTGGATTCATCTGCTCTGCAGTCTTTTGTGTTAGTGTATGCAGAGTTCTCTTTCCAGCGTTGTGGGGCTTTGAGAGCTGCCTGGAGACCTGTGTCTACTCAGGCCACCACGCAAGTGTTTCTTGTAGCAACCAAGGTTTACAGTCGAGGCTGTAGATTCCGGCTGCAGCAAGTGGCTTGGCATTCTCGTCCAGCATAGACTCGGCCTGGACTTGAGGATGCTGGTTTGCCCGGGGCGTGCTTGGCAAAGACATGCGCGATTCAGGCAGCCGCTTGTGCTGACGTATTCTATTTCATGACTAAGAAGTGATTTTTCTGGCAGTGCAGTGCATCCTTGCATTTTTCACTTTTTCTGTTGCTATGTCTCGCCAAACTGCCTGCAGCCAGGATGCAGTACGGTGTGCCTCGGCGTAACCTTTCCAGCAGAGCTTTGCTCGCTGTTGTCCAACTTCTGCAAGTGTTCTCGGACCAGAGGAGGAGTGTGCACGTGCTGTCCTGTAGCCTTTTGTCTGTGCGAGTTCTTGGTTCAATGCTGACAGGAAAGAATGCTCTGCTTTACCTGTCCTCTGCAAATAGCCTCGCTTCGTAGCCTGCAGAGCTCTGTGGCTTTTCCTTCTGTCAGAGAGCTCTTGTGTTATCTCTTTGTTTCAGCATTGGGGTCTCTAATGAACCTCTGATATGTGCTTGTGCCCAGGGAGATTGGGTCAGGGCAGAAGGAACACTCAGTTCTCTGGCTGCCTGTAAACTTGGTGACTCGCTCGTCATACAGGCTGATGACATCGTGAGCTTCGCTTTATTGTCTTTCCCTGACTCTGTCAAGGTGTTTCTCTGTCAAGAAGTTTCCAAGAGTTGCATGCATCCGATACCCGCACGCTGGCAAATGCAGCTGGCTCCCTGGTGTTGTGTTCAGCTTCTTACGGCAAGTCTGTTGTACACTCAAGTACGCTAGAGATCCTTCTCTTCCTAGCTCAGTTTAAAAGTACTTCGCAGCTGCAGTCTCTCCAGTTGGTCACCAGCACTTTGTAATAACAAACCACTAGAAACTGGTATCCAGAGCTGTGGCTTTTTACCAGAGGGAGGTTTGCAGATCAGCAAAGGTGATGTCCTCAAGAGCATCAAGAAAGGTGACTTTCGGAGTGTGGGTCATGAATGGGTCCCTCAGCAGAATTACTCCTTGGCCTGCTCCCTCCCGTTCCTTAGAGCTTCGTGCCCATGAGGCATGGAGGCAGGGACAGGGGTGATGACGACTGACGTGCTCTGGTGCAGAACAGCGGCTCTGCCTGCTGGGACCTTGGGGCTGGGTGGGAGCAGCACTTAGCTGCAGTTGTTCCTGAGCAAACTTTCTCCTGCTGCACACCTGTAGGCTGCCTCTCTCACCTTGTGTTCCGAAGCGATTTATCTGGGAGTTGCTGGCCCTTAAATAAAAAAGGAAGTGAGTGGAAGAGGAGTCATGAACAGGAGTCCTCCAGCTGTGAAAGCTGTGGCTGCAGTGCAGGCGGGGATTGAAGTTGCTGACGTTGCAGAACGCATTCTTATTCCTGCAGTGCCCACCCAGCTATAGGAGAGTCAGAGCTTCGCTGTCGGAGCTGCGGGCCAGGCTCGGGGAGGAGATTGCCCTGGCAGCGCTAACCGAGTGGAGCCCCATGGGCTGGTGACATGTTTGGGCCCTGGAGCGATGGGCGCAGCGGCGACACCGGTGGTGCCAGGCCCATGCTTTGTGCTTCGTGGGGTGATTTTTCACAGCTGACTGGTATCGGAAAACTTCCCTGGATTCACTTAGAAGAAGTGGGACAGTGGTTCTCGTGAGTTTAAGGGGAACAATGATCCGGCGCACCATGATGTGCTGCTCTTCGATGCTGTTTCTGTCTCCAGCACCATTCTGGGCTGCGTTTCTGAAAGCTCCTCCTTCCTCTGCTTTAAGCCAGAGAATACTTGCTGAGCGTGGGGCAAAACTCTGGGGAAAGAAAGCTGCTGGTGTGTTCTGCAAAACATCCTTCTGCCTGCTAGGTGAGCAAGGGCTGGAAGGGCAGTGCCTGTGACGTGGGTTGTATCAGAAGCAGCTCGTACCTCTTCCCCTAGCGCCCGGTCAGTAGCTGTGGGAGAGCCCTTTGCCTGTCACCCCCTGGGCTGTGTTGCAGAAGCACTTGCACTAGCAGGACTGGCTGCTGTTTTCTCATTCTGCGTGTAATTCGGGATCAGTCTTTTTGCCTAGAGCCACCCATGCACTGTGGGGAGAAGAGAGGGTGTGTTAGTTAGTTAGTAGCTCTTACTGTTGCACTGGGCTTTGGGAAGAGAGTTGAAATTGTTATATGCTGAAGGTCATCTGTGGAAGGAAGAAAGGAGTGGGAAAGAGGAGGATTTCTTGTACTACTTAAATGTAAAAGCCATCCATAATCCATTAATTTACCAATGCTTTTTTTTTCTAGTGCTGTAAAACATGGGGTTAATAGATTTAAGGCGGAGAAGTGTCAAATGAGTGGGGAGCTTTGGAGAACTTGTGAGGATAATATGAGAGACACCTACAGTCCTTAACCTTGCCACTGGCATTCCCAGAGACCGTTCCGGCTGCTTTCTGGAGTTGGGATCAGATGAGAACGTTCCTCCCGAGAGGTCCAAGCTGATCCCCATGTCCTTTTTCGCAGGATCCACCTGCAACCCCACGTTGCATCTGTGCCTGCCTGTGTTGTCTGAGCAGGGGCCCTGCGAGGGGAGCGGCTCCGGGGTGTTTCCCTAGGGTGGGCAGAAGGTACCCCGAGCGTGAAGGAGAGCTGTGAAGGAGAGTGGCGCGTTTGTGTTTGCACAGGGCGCTCAACGCCGCCACTTGCTTGCGTGAAGCTTAATGTGCGTTGGGAGCGTAAGAACCACTCGCAGGCGGGAAGGGGTGATGGGTTGCAGTTAAAAACCCTTTTGGGCGACTCGTGATGTGCCCCAGCAGAACTGAGGCCGCAAACTGGAGTGTCTTGTCACATCTTCTGGCCCCCCTGAGTGTGGGGACGTGTTAGCACGTGCGGAGCGAGCCTTGGTGCTGTGCTGGGTACGCCCACAGAGCGCCGCCGGGCGCTCGGCTGGTGTGTGTGTGCTTTCCTGGCTTCAGCAGCCCCCATTTCATTACTTGTTTACTTGCAGTCTGCCCAGGGTGTCTTTTCAGTCCCAGGCCAGGGAGCAGGAGACACGTTAACTGCTGTCGGTGATGTGGCCGGGTATGTAAGTATGAGTTCTGCCGCCGAGATCCATGCCAAGGAGAAGCTGCTGCTGGGATGTAGGGAGAGGCAGGTGTCAGCTGAACGGGGCGTGAAGGGGCTGCACAGCCCTCGTGGAAAGCGCGGGATTTCCAGCTTCTTAGCCTCAAAGTTGACCACAAACTTCTCCTTGGTCGGAGGTGTCTTGTCTCCCTTGCCTGATGTGGTTCTCAACTAGGAACCCAGATACTCCTCTGTGTAAATTTAATTGAAAAAGGTGGCTGGCGGCAGGGCTGGATTCTCAGTCTTGTCCTTGTTTTGCCATGATTCTGACCTGTCTCTATCGATGTGAAGTGCTTGCTGTTTCATCAACTCATTGACCTCTATCTTGTTTTACTTCCCGCTTACGGGCTGCTCTGTTACCAACAGTCTTTCATAGGATATTTGCTAATGGTGAGCAAACTTCTCCGCTCCTGTGACGTGACTACCACTCTATATGTAATGTTCTATTTGTGTGCGTGTGTGTGTATATATATATTGATATATATATGCGTGTGTGTATTTCTCTATTCGCGACACACACGAGCACACACACTCTCTACTTTATTTCTGTAGTGTTCCCTTGCTATAAGGCTGGTGCGTAAAACTGTTGGGCTTAGGCACATCCCGCGTTGAGACCTCGTGTTCCGCACTGGGATACAAACTGTTCCGTGTGCTCCCAGCCAAAGCCTTACAGAGAGGGAGCGCTGCCCGTTGTGCAGTCCTGGTCGTTAGTTCTCCCCCTCTCCTCGTTCTTAGCGCGTGCTAGTCCGTGGACCCCAGTGCATGCCGGCTCCCGCATGTCAAGCCAAGCGATGTCCCGAGCTCTCCACATATGCTGGGCTCTGTCCTGCTGCTGCTCCGCTGGACTTGGCTGGGCACCAACCCTGGACTAGCCTCCGCTTTGTGCTTGGCCATCCGACTGCTTGCTTGTAGTTTTAACTCCTTAGATGTTGTGTTTTTAAGATGAATGTTTCAGTGAATGTGTCTGACTCCCGGGGGCCAGAGAGACATCCCGCCCAAATGAGTCCCTGACTCTGAAGTAAGGTTTACTTTTTGTGTTTCCCCAGACAAAGCTCTGGTTTTGGGGAGACTTGCACATGAGGAGGGAGTTGGGCTGGTGGGGGCTAAAGAGTCGTGGGATTGTAGTATCCCAAGTTGGAAGGGACCTCGAGGATCACCTGGCCCAACCTTTCTGGCGCAGCCCCTGTTCAGACGAATTTTGGCAGTGTCTGATGCCAGGGAGGAAGAATTTGAGTGCTACAGTTTGTAACCCTGCTAAACAGAATGCTGCATGTACATTTAAAATAATTATTTTTTGCCGTCAGGGTTGTTTCTGATGGCTAGAGTTCGTTCCTGCCGAGTTGGGATCCTGCCAGCTCGTGGCTGGAAGCGGTGGGAAGGGTGGGCTGTGCGTTTGGGGGAGGGCGTGGTGTGCTGTGCTGCCTCCGCGGAGGGCAGAGGCTGTTCGTAGGGGAGCTGGAAGCT